AATTAAAGGAGGGCTCAGATTTTGACTTCTTCCTGCATGCTGTCAAAAGGACAGCAGAGTTACGCTGACTTTTGCTTGACTGAGCAGCACCAAGCACAGCTGTGCTGGATACCCCTACATCCTGCAGTGGAGAAGTGTGGAGAAAAAGGAATTACTCCACACTTTTCAAAAGCAAATCTAGCTAACGTGGTTCTGTTTCCAGGTGCATCTTTATGGATGGATGATGAATCACAGGCACTGCATTACTATGGCTTAATGACTTACCACTTGTCAGCTGGGCCACACTTCTGCCCTTCTAAAGCTGACATACACAGGCTTAAACCTTCCTCACAGTTAAACCATTATCTTAAACCACACAGCTGTCTTAAGCTACCACGTTCTTTTCTCAATAGGCTGGGGCAGGAGACTGGCCCACATGTGTTTGGTAGAGCAGCTAGCACAACTTCAGCCTGAAATCACAGCTCAGAATCCTTCTGGTAACTGCAGGTTGCAGCTCTCTCATGTATCAGAGCCTGAATTCTTGCTATTCTCTGTCTCCAGCATGGCACTCACATCTGCTCCCAGTAAGATAAACTCAAATGTGATTGGTGTATACACAACAAGTTATGCATGAGTAAACAGGTGAGAGTGCAAATGTGCTGGAGCACTTGCAGGCATAGCAAAGATGATTCAAACCGCTTGGCTTGACCACAGCAGTTCATGTCCATTAACAAAAAGCTCAGCATTGTTGCCTGAATATGTACTACTTCATTTTTGAACTCATAGCAAACAGGGTCTCACAGCCTGTTTTTAAGTCTGATTCTATACTTGTTTTCATTGCATAACTACAATTTATTCTAGAAATGGCAAAGAAAAGATACATCTGGTAAAGGAAAGTTAACATTTATGCCACTCATTCTGGGGACAGGAGTAAGAGGCTTGCCTTTCTCTATCGTATCCTTGAATTTTTTGGAATCTTTTCAGAAATATCCCTTTATACAGTCAAACACTCAAGGCTGCAGTTGAGGCCAGGAATGCTGCCTTCCATGTGAGGTTAATCCTTCACGCTGAATGCCTCATTCCCAAGGTGGAGAGCTAACTACAGATATTCTATTTGGCTGCCAGCACTAGAAAGTGCTGGCTTTCGTCTGGTATCATCTCCCACTCTGTGATACGACTGGAATTTTCACCACCCACAACTGGAACAGAGTTCCCTGCTATACTTTTCTCAGACTTTGACTCCTGTTTCAGAACTAGAATTAACTGCTAAGTTTTTAGCAAGGTCTTCACCTGCACATTTGATGCTTTTCTAAGTTCTCAATAGTCTTTAAAATAAAACAAAAAAAAAAGAAAGAAAGAATTTCCACACTTAGATGAGAACTGTATTCCTTTTAAAATCTGGTCCCAACTACTGGAGATGACCGTATAGAATCGATCTCTGCACTCCTTGAAAGAGTGAATAATGCACTTCAACAGTAGATGGAGAATCATTTAGATTCAGCCTTAAAAAAAAGAACATTAATGGTATCTGAAGAAGATGGCAAATCACTACAAATAATCTTACTGACAAAATTCAGGGTAACAAAAATAATGAAAACCCTCTGTACTATATATATATATAGTATATATATATATATTTTTATATATTATATATATTTTTATATTTTTATTTTATATATATTTATATATATAAATATATTTTTATATATTTTATATATTTTAATTATATATATTATATTATATATATATTATATTATAAAATATATTTTTAAAATAATAAATAAATAAATATATATATATTTACTTTTAGTTATGACTTTTTTGCTAATGTTACTTTATGCTATTGCCATCTCCCAAGACTCTGAAAACAGCAACCTCAAATCAGAGTTGGTGAGAGAGAATTTAAAGGGCAAGTATATCTGTAGCTGACTTCCAGCTAAATGCAAGTTTAAATTTATGGCCATCACACAGGAGATGACTTGTCTAAGTGAAAAGCCACAGCGAGATCTCTTTTATTTCAGTGCAAATTATTGATACTTGTCAGTTAAATGTCCATAGCCTCAAACATTTAAATGCTTAACAATTTCCAAATACAAGTTCAAAAAGATAGACATAGATCCTATCACCTCTGGAGTAGATACAATCAACTACCTCACATTATTCTTCCTTCTCTACAAGCATCCATCCCAGGGAAAAAAATATTTCTGTTACAAACTACAGCCTTAAAACTCAAAATGACTCATGATACAGGCTCAGAGATACCAATCTGAGATCTTCTCATCTCATAACAGTAGCAGGCGTGTTATGTTCCAAAAGCACTTTGCACAGCTTTTTACCAGTCATCTTATATACCTATTAAACACTGCAAGCTCTTAACATGCTCAGGATAGAAGGAGCCAGTGCTGCCATTCACAGATTTGAACAAAACCTTTGCTGAGAGTGTGCAGTTGCATTGCCAGTGCTACTTCTATCTTTTGCCTGTCTTTCTGCCTGCTGCTTGTTTATGTCACTGTCCTGCAGGCTATGCATCTAACAATATTCAACACCTGTTCTGCTTTAAAAGTGGCTTAGCAAAAAATAGTTCAGTCATTTGCATCTTAATTAAAAAAGCAAAAAGCGCTATTTGTAGGTTTAGTCCTGCAAAAACTGTGGAGAAACCATTTGTGTGAACTGTTAGGCACGTGAGCCAGCGTTCCCAAAATCAAAGCCCGTAATTTTAACAAACTGAGGTCTGTAATTCCTAACAACCTGAACTTCTACATCACCCTAGCTGCTATCATAGAGTACTTTTAGAAGATACCCTGAATGATGAACTTATCTATTTTGCTATCCTGCCATTATCAAGGATTTTAAATAGCATGTTAGAATACGATTCTAATATACTATTAGAAAATAATAATTTTAGAGATGCTTTTCTTCATGTGTGGCCCAATAAAAGGATGCTGTCAGGCTGGTTTATATATCCTTAGTTCGCAATTACTGTGAGAATGTTTGATCTTTAGTATCAATTTGAGTATATCCATTGACTTTTAAAATGAAACGTCAATTGTTTAGATTTCTTTCTCAGATATAAATATTCTGGCCTGCACTGCCTGTAACATAACACTGAAGTGTTATGTCAGGCTATTAGGAATGAAATGAAGTGGAAACAAAACAGAAATTCACAGGTTCTCATTGCCTTAGCCAAAGTTTACTTTACTTGACTGAAATCCTTTTCAGAACTGTTAATAACAGACTGGGTTTTGACCTGATGACATCCTTTTATTTTAGCCAGACTCACACGTGCAAAAGCCTTGGCCATCCATTATAAGACTGTGTATGAAGGATGGCTAGGGGCACGTCCAAGCCTCTCCTATAAGTGACTAAAAGCCCCAGCAGCAATGATACTCACGTTGGCACTGTCCCCAGGCCAAACGGGCCCAGCCCCAGCAGCAGTCAATTCTGCTTCCAAACCGGCACAGTCCTGCAGAGGAAACTATTTGTCTGGGCCACCTGAATGAGACAGTTCAAAGACAGCTGGTGAAACCCTTTGGAAGCAGCTAACTAAAATCATTCTGAACTTCGCAACAACAACAACAAAACACTTCTTTTTCTGGTAAAGTGCTCTGACCTGAGCCTGTGATATTTCTGTTACGAATGCAGCATGTTGTTCAGACATTGGACATAGCTTTAGGCAGAAGATAATTGGCGTAACTTTGTACCACCTGAAACAACGGACACGTTCTGCAATGTGCTCGCTGCTGCCGCTCACAGGTCGCTATTAAATCGTTGCAGACTTGTGAAATTATCTATAACACGCAATTAACCACCATCCAGAATTTCAGCATTGATTTGTTTCGCGATATGTCACCAAATTTTCTTACTGAAACTTCAAGGGAGGGGGAAAAAGAAAAAATCAAAACACGAGCTTCACGTTACACGGTAAATAAATACAAAGGGAGAACTAGAGAGACGTAAATAAAAACTAAAGGGAAAGAGGCAGCGCAGCCTTGGGCGACGGCAGAGCGCTGCCGTGACTTGTCAGCGCGCCTCAGCGACAGGCGGGAAGGCAGCGAGCAGGGCGCTGCCCCGCGCACCAGCACGGCACGAGCCCGCGCCGCGCGCCCCACCTGACGCTCCGGCCCCGCGCAGGGGCTCGGCTCGGCTCTCCTCTCTTCGCCCCGCGGCCGCTCTCACCCGGCTTCGTGTTAAAACTTGAGTCACAGTTCTCCGCCGTATTCTGTTTCTAGTGCCCCGAGGCGTCAATAGACTGATTTTATTTTCGCAGCACGTGAAGCGCTTCGCGTTTAATCCTGAGAGAACGCGGCCCCGCTGCAGCGACCAACTTTCTACAGCCGTGACGGCGCTGACGCCCCGGAGCCGAGCACGGGCATGGCCCCGGGCAGGAAAGGGCGATGCGGTGCCCGCGCTCGCCCCTCCGGCCCCGTCCTGCGGCCGCCGGCTCCGGGGCGCCCCGCCTAGCTGAGGAGACGGCCCCGGGTGCGACAAGGACCCCCCGGCGCCATTTCGCACCCCGGGACTGCCGAAGCTCGCCCGGGGCACGGCCCGCGCCCCCTTCCCGCGGCAACCCCCGCTCGGCGCTCGCCCCGCGCGGCCGGCCCCTACCTTCTGTCAAACTCTCCGGCCGCCCCCAGGGAGAGACAGGAGGCCAGCAGCAGCCGCACGGAGAGCTCCATGGCCGGCGGGGCTCCCCAGCGACGCGGGCCGGCCGCTGCGGGGGGAGCTGCGGTGCTAGAGGCGAGCCGCGGTGCTGAGGGTACCACGGCTACCGCACGCCCCGGCTGTGCCGCAAGAGCTTCGGAGCGGCAGCGAAGAGCCCCTCTGCGCCGCCCGCCCGTCTCGCTGTCGGGCGGAGGAGGTGCCGCCGAGGAGCGGCCGTGCCGCCCACGACCGTTAGGGGCGCCCGAGGGCGGGCTGCCCGCCTCCCGCTGAGGGGCACCTGGCGGCGGGACCGCGCCTCAGCGCCGCCGCGTCCCCTCGGCCGCCCTGCGCCGCCATCCCTCCTCGCACGACAAGAGGAGAACAACGGGCACCGACTGTGGAGCACAGGCAGAGCTTTGATTTTGTAAAGGAGCTGTTATCACTTGAGGTTCGACAGCCACCCCGCCCCTCGCCAAAAGCAGAGTCCACAGGCATGGATAGGTAAGAGCATTAAGATTCAGCCTACTTTTGCCAAACGCGGTTCTTCCAGAACAGTGCTTTTCACTAGGATTACAACTTGTTGTTTGCTTTGTTCTGGCTCAAAGTTTCCTTTAATAGCTCTGATGTTAGCATATGTGGCCAGGTGCCCCTCGCCCCAGCCAAAGAAAGCAGAGGTTCAAGCAGGACCCGTGCACCACATGGCACTACCAACCTGGATGACTCCAGCTCTGTTCCACATTAAAGCACTAAAAGATGGCAGCCATGTCTGCTTGGTTTCTATGAACTACTGCCATGGGGACGTTCTGGGGGACACTAAATAGCAATTTGTCTCCAATTTAGTGGTCAGAACCACTCACAGTGCTCTGATTATTACAGACAGATGGGCCAACAGCTCCCAGTAGATTGTAGCATTGGTTTTGATGTGTGCATGCAACACAGCTAATCTCGTCAGCTGGTGCTACAAGTCACACACAGCTTAGACCCAGAAAACAAAGACCTTCCAGTTTGTGCTGTAACACAAAGCCAAACCCTTCAGGGAGCACTTAGATGCCAGCTTCCTAAAATATGATTTCAGGCTTCAGATTTGAGCTCGAAGTTCTGCTCAGAGTATTTTGCACTTTTATAACACTTCACAGATATACAAGCAACACTGTGGTTATGACAGTAGTAAAGACATTTTGCACAAGGGATGAATTGAGCTAGTGAGTTTTATAAAATTACACCTCTCAGAGCAGTTTTACCACTTACTGAAATCTTCAGCAGAAAACCCTCCACCCTTCCATTATTTTTTCAGGACCCCAATTTCCCTGTGCTAAGGCTCCTGTCCACAGTATCAATCCAATACCATTCAGACAGATATAAAAAAAAAAAAAAAAAAAGTTAAAAGCTCATAATTCTGCAAGGTGTTTGTTACCTGTGCTGAGACAGCATACCCCATGGAGAACTGAGCTAGACATGAAAACTACACCAAAGACCAAATGCCATTCCTTCCATTCACATCAATAGAAGGCTGATAACCCATGCAATAACACAGTAGCATTTGGGAAAGACAGGGGAGCATCTGGCTTAGATTAGATTCTTGCTGAAGCAGAGCTGATTTCCAGCTCTTGACTGATTGAATTATTTTTTTTCCCCTCACTCAGATACGTGATGAGGGATCAGCCCACAGCCCTTGCAGGATTAATTTGTTGTCAAGATTTTATGGGCAAAAAGGGAGAAGTCCTACTTAAGATAACCACAGGGATTTCTCTCTGGTACCAGCATCCGGCTATATCTTTCCAACACGCAGAAGGAAAATATCCACAAATTACACTGCGGCCAAATTCAGGACAGGTGCCAAAAGCAACATTTTGGCTGCATTGTGAATGAAGGTGTAGGGCAACCTGACACTTTCCTTCCAGCGTCCAAGAGGACGTGTTGTAAAGTCAAACCCATTTCACATCACTCTGCGCAGTGGTACTTAAGTACAGAGCAACTTTAAAGCACGTGCTACTTTTTGAAATCATGTATACTCACAAATGGTGGTAAGATCATTTAATCTGTCCAGGCTGCACTCAGTATTTAAGATTTCCTCCGCAGTCTCTCTGGCATTCTTGTGTGTCAATAACTGTGCTGGTCAGACATGGTGCCTACTTCAATTAGGATTGTCTGCTTTTGGTTAACTGTTGCTGCTTTTGGAATACCAGTCTGAAAAAACAATTAACCAGTCACTGGAAGATCACATACTGCACTTCCATACCCACCAGCAGGACTGGACATCCAGCCATTTACAAATTCATTTGTTTTGGCAATGATTTATTGATCTAAATGGAGTTTTCTTAACAGTGTAGTTATTCATATTCAGGACACTGAGTGAATAAGTACAGGAATCAAATCTTTGACAAATTAACAGTGTACAAAGCTGCCTTCCATGCTCTTACTTGTACACACATACATAGAGCTGTGAGGGTGTGTATCAAACTAACACATAGAAGATGGAGAAAATGTGGAAATAGTAAGAGAAATTCTCTCATACCTTACAATTAACGAAGCAGCACGAAAGCATCACAAATGTTGAAGTCACAGGGGTGGCTGACGTGATGCTCAGCAAGACATTAGTAATAAATGCCCAATAGGAATGCATCAAGCACTCAGACAGATGACTAGCACATACCAAGCAGATGAAGTGGAGGATTATGGACAAAGGAACAAGTGTCCAAGGAATCTCTTTCAAAGACGAGTTGTTGAGTGCAACATGAACCATGATTTTCACTGCAAATCAGCAACAACGAAGCAGAAACATGGAGGAAGATGCAAGGTATTTAAAACAGTAATGCTGTTCTCCTCCATATGAAAGACTCAAAATGCATGCAGCAATCAAAAAAGGAAGGTGCAGACAGGTCTTAAAAGGTGTTTAATGAATGCATGCTTACTATGCTTAATTTACTCCTCCCCATTCCCTTAGAAAGATCCTGGGATGCCACATCACAAAGAACTTGTGTCCTGTCCTCAAGAATCCACACTATCAGCTCTGATCCCCATCTTGGACTTCCAGTGTCACAGATTCATTGGGTTCAGATTGCGACTCCTCTTTAAATATTAAGACCCTAAATTTGCTGAAGATATGCTATTTTGAGAGCAGAGGAAGAGTCTGACACATCTGGTGAAATGAAGGCAGTTTGCTTGTTAGCTTTCATTTTGCTTGGCTGGGTTTGGGTCTGTGTTTTTTTGTTTGTTTTGGCTTTTTGGAGTTTCTAGAATATTCTTTAGTATTTACTGAACAGACAATATTAAGAAAAAAAGAGTTGTAAAGATAGCAGTGCAGATATTTTTAAATGGCAAATACTACTAGATATAGTAGGTACTGGAATGCAGTAAATATAACAAATATCACAGAACCAGCTTCAAATTTTACCTTCATTTGTTACAGGTAGCTGTGAATTAAACAATCACAATAGTAACAGATACTGCCTTAGGCCAATCTACTGTCAACTAACTTTTATTGGCATTAGTTAACTCTTTTTAATATTAATTTCCTTCTTTGGGTCTTAGAATACATTACATTGATCCTCTACTCAGATGAATCAGGCAATAATCTTTGTGAATCTCCAGTTTTCATAAGCAGATATTAAGAAACAGAAAGTGATGTTTCCCCCAAATCAAGTTATCTCTCATCTACCCAAAAATAAATCTCCTGTTTTCCAATTTCACATTTAAACCACAAACCCATCCTTCTTTCCAAGTATTTCACGCTCATTGAGGCTAAGGAAGTTAACTACAATGACACCATTCCAAGTCACTAAATGACATTATGGCACTGGAAATGCCAATTCAAAAGCCTCTAAATGTTCCCCTCCCTCCCATGTCACATCTTATTAATTTGCTTTCTGAAGCAAGCTTTTTCCACACAGACTTGATCCTTCTTTAAAACTAAGAGTGGAATTTGCGTTGAAGTTTCCTGTATTTTATTATAGGATGAAGTACTTATTTTCCCTCTAAACACACAATAACTTTCTGGGCTTTGAATGGAAAATTCCCCTATTCCAGTCTGTATATATCTTTTGAACATATGGCCACTTGATCAATTTTTGTACCAAGGTGATTTGCATTGAGGATGAGAAGTATCCCCCAAACTTAACATTACCCTATAAGAGATTGGTTCTACTCAAGACACGATCATTGAATGCAGAAAAATCTGTGACTGGCATAAGAGACGTGTTCCTCAGAACAGTGAAGGGCAGCACAGTCAACTTCAGAAAATGATGGCAAACTTCCTGCTCTGATGGAAGCCTTGTGTATCCTACACCTCTCCGTAACACCAGCAATGAAGGTGATGCAACTATTAGAGAACACGAGCTTGAGAAATATTTAGCACTGACCCACATTTTACAGACTGGCACAGAGACAGACCTGAGATGGGTCCTTACGTCTGAGTGAAACAATTGTGAATGCCTTCACAGACTGAGCAGAAAAACCACGCATGTGGCTTCTGACACTGTCTAAAAAGGAGAAGGAATAGAGAAAGCTTTAGGATGAATAAATGACTGACACACTATTTTTGTGCAGTCAGCACTGAAAAAAAAAATGCCTCCAACAATACATTAGCATCATTGCTGTCTGCTCCTGGTTGGCTCAGCCAGTTAGCTCCCATTCGTTGCTGCAGTTCAATCAGCCTTTGGAAAAGTTGTCACAACAAACCAGCTGGGTTTGCTGAAAAGGATGCAGGGCTGATTCCCAAGCAGCCCAACAGTCACACTTCTGTAACACGGTTTTTCATCAGTGTAAGATTCTACTGTTCTCATAATAGAATAAATTGAATACAAATCCTACAGACTATGGCCTGTTTTGCAGGTCATACTACAACTCCCCAAGTCTAGTTTTACCCTGTGCAGCCAATGCCTCACATTGTTTCCTATCCTTAGGAAAACAGAATACTTCAGTGCAAGAAAACTGTTATTTGCATCACAATTTCATCATCACCTTCATGGGCTACATGCATGCACACCTAGTGGTCAGCATGAGGGATGAGAACTGAAACAAAAGGAAGCCATTTAGAAATGATCAGCAGATTATTAATAAAAAAATATTACTTACATGATAAGAAAATACATACAATGGAATGCTCATAATCAACAGTTAACTGTCTTTTTCATGGGTATGAAGTCCATAACAACATTCCGTTCAGCAATATTAAAGGCTGATGACAGATTCTTGAAGAAAAAGAAAAAAATCATCAAATTACTATCTGTAACTAAGCGAAAATATATAGAAAACAAAACAGGAACAGCATCACATATGTTACACAGAACATCACAATAAAAAGAGCTGCTAAGAATGCAAAAACCACAAGGACGTGAGCTGAAACCAAACTTAACCTCATACTTACTGCTCTAACTGTAACAAAAGAAAAATGCAGTATTATGTTGAGATCTCCATGAAGATGTTCTCAACCTCAGTTCTAATGTGAACTATCTTTAATTAAGCATGTTCTGTTGTATATTATCTGGACTTCAAGGGAAGTGTATCTGGACTTCATGAGCTTTCTCTTTCTGCTCAACCTTCCTATGCTCAGGCTGCAAGCTATGACTTTTTGGGCTGCTTAAGAATTTTAACGTGTAAGAACGTAAACCAGTCTGAAAAGTAATCAGAATTGTTTTCTGTCAAAAGAAGCCAATGAAATTAATCTGGCACAGCATGGATTCAAATGATTCTGCTCATGAAACACATTCTTTGCAACAAGAAAAAACACAGGTAATTGCAGAACCAAAGAAAATGTTTTACAGTAGGCTAAGAAATCAGCCTTGATTATAACAGTTTCTGTAACTTTGTTTTTATCTCCATGCCATGGATTCATTGCCAAAATTAGGGGTAAAAAAAAGTTGCAGTTTTATACTAACATAGATATGCTGCCTGACAATGCCTTTCCAGAGAGAAATGATAGAGAATTACTTCAACCCAATTCTTTGAATTGTTCTTCGTCATACTGAACCCGAACTGCTTTACAGATTCTGACAAAGGTGGGATAAATTAGGTCAAGTTATATAAAATACTCTGGGTCCTCATATTTGCCATCTCATTTGATTTTGATTGATTGTCATGTCACTTGTATGAGCTGAGATATAGTTGTGTAATGAGATGCATCCTCTGTTACTAGTTGCTTGTAATTGAACCTAGAACTACTGACATAAATGAGTTAGTATTGCTGTTATCCAGAAAAAGAATTGCTTGTCTAATTCATTGAATTGCTTATTTAATTTACATCTTGTTTTGACATATGAAAAATTCCTAGTACGTTCTGAGATGTGGGGCAAGCAGAGCTAGTAGGCAGGAAAACCTGCTACAGGTGGTGAAAAGATGTTTGCAATACCCAAAAGAACTTTCAGAAGTTCAAACAGGGTGGACAGATGATAACTTCTATTGCTTCCATTGTTTCACAGAAGCACAGAACGGCTGAGGTTGGAAGAGTTCTCTGGATGTCATCTGGTCCCAACCCCTGCTCAAGTACAGCTGTATAGATCTGCTGGCCCACGACAAAGATTTTGGGCACCTTCAAGAATGGAGACTACCGCTCTGTGCAGTGAGTCCAATATTACATATTCTAGCAAATATAATGGTAGTGGACTGGGATAATCCTGGGTCAGGTCCGCAGATCCTGTAAAATCAAATACCTCAGTGAAACTAACATATATCACTAAGTTTTCTGTCCGCTGAAAGTCAAAAGCGAGACAGATCCCATCAAGTATAGTCTCTAACAGCTGCATACAGCACAGGACTGGTATGATATTTATCGCATACGTAGTTGCTTGTGAGCCTTTTAATGCCTTTGAGCATTACAAAGTTTATTGGTGGTTTTCATTATGTAGCACTTAAAAAACTTCAAGAAGTCCATTAAATTCACATCTTCAGATTACAATGTGAGTGGTAAGAGGATGGAGAAGATTTAAGATAGGCTTAAGTGCTCGGTACGAAAGGAAATTAAGGAGTTTCAGGGCTATCTACCTGGTCTGGTAAACAGTTTCTGATTCTTCTACAGTCTGCTCAAATGACACAGCAGCATTCAATCTTACTTTATATAATCTTACTATATTCTTAAAGCTCTATATTCAAAACCAATACATAACTCCAACTAACACTTTTAAACAATTCTATAGGTTTTTATGGATATTTTTTGAGGGGAAACAATTAATTTGGGATCAGTATTTAATGCACAGTTGGATACGGACTTCAACAGTCTTAAATAAGCAAGCATGCTCCTTAACTGAGATTTTCTTAAGGTAGAGAAACACAGTAGCTCTGACTGAGATGGACTAGGAGCTCCAAACTAGAAGTTTTTTCATTAGGATTGAAGCAGGTCTGCAATAACAAAAGTAAGAAAGTTTCAGGAACAGAAAATGAATTGTGACTGTTTCATGAAAGGAGAGGGAAAAATCTAAGAAATAGATTGGAGCAAATCTATCAACAGTTTCCAATCAAAACTGCTTTACAGGCAATGACAAAATATTCTAGGACCAAAAAAAAATATCCAATTTTAGAGAGCTCTACAGAGCTTTAAATAGCAGAATACCCAGGTAAGAGAATTAATAAAAGCATTAATAAAAGAATTAATAAACTGTTCTATGAACTAAAACAAAGGGATAAAGGTTGTTTGCTGACACATTCAAGAAAATACATTTTGTTCTTGTCTTTTTACTTCTAATACATGCATAACTCTGATAACTGAGCTTGGTCCAGCAGGAGAGGTATTAGAACTGAAAGACAGATAGTAAAGTGTCTATAAAAAGCTCTACCTTCTTTCAAGAGTTATAGCATAAACTACTCAAAAATCTTTTGCAATGGTTTGAGTAGAGTAACAGTGCCCCTTCTGAACTGTCAGCTCTCAAAGGCAGAGGGCAACCACAGATAAACAAGCTGCCATTTTTCCCTTGAGTGGAGTTAAAGAATGCCATCAGAAAATTAGACTGGTAGTAGTACTCAGTTTGTACTTTCATTGAAACTAAAAGCAGTGGTCACAAAAGGAAAAAGGAACACATTTAACACATGTTGGAACAGAAAGCAATCGGATTAAGTCCACTTAAAAACAGTGCTTTCTGCACTGCATAGACTGTTCTCTGTACATGGAAGCAGGTATTACATCATAGCAATCTTTTGCACACATTTGTCCATATCCTCATGGTTAACAGATGAAAAAGATGTGCACCTAATCTTGAAGAATGCTAACAAAACTGACTACCCTTTACAAGTTTAAAATTAAACCTTCTCCTAATTTCCACACACACCAGCAAATTCTGAGTAAGAACACAGAGCGAGGCCGTGTTACTCTCGGAACTTGAATGTCCTCACTTCTTTCAAGCAAGGTAGGTGCTAACACAGAATCAATTAGAAGGTTTATGCCCTCCAGACTGACAGCGTACACGTCAGTAGTATTTATTCTTGTAGCAGCAGCTATTGTGTATACTAATCATGTACAGATATCTTGCTAGTTTAAGATTATTAGGAGCTAAAAGCTGCAATTGGAAACTCTCAGTAAGGATTATTCTGGAACACATTTTATTTTGAGGGCTTTTTGGTATTTATGACAGAGCATATAAAAGTAATCCAATTGTAAAAGAGATTTGTAAACTAACTGAAGGTTTCAAATTGCATAAATCACTTAAAAATTTTCTTTTCCAGATTCCTACTTTGAATACAAAATGTTACTCTAACAAGGATGAGGCATCCATTTATAACCAAACGTTTGTGTATAATGGTCAAATGCAAAAAAAAGGAGGAATTAAACGTTTATCTGAGTCTTGATTTTCATCCAATACCTTGGGTAATTTATTCTGAAATTCTAATTATATCCCCTATACAAGCACTGCAAATATGAAAACCGAGAGAAAAATATATTTGCAAGAGCTTTTTTCCTCTGTCTTTTCCAAAGTAAAGAGATGGCTGCGGTCAAATTACTTAATGAAAAGAACTCTGTGTCAGCAATCATCCTAACAAAGAGAACATGCCCATTTACAGTATTGTTTAACTATTTCTATAGTAGGTGACCACACTAAATGGGTATTTGAACAGTAACATGCCAAACGAATAAAAACAACCTTCATGGTGCCAAACATTAGCTATTTCTACAAAACTAACTAAAAGCATGCAAAAGTAGTGCACAGAAATACGTATATCTACTTCATCTCCTGGCCTCTTAGACAATCTGAATTGTCTATATTTTATGTGATTCTGTTTAAGAAAGCAATGTCAGTACAACAGACCAGAAGTTATCTGTTCATGATATCATCCAAGCTTATATTGAGCCGCAGTAATATATATGCATCATAGCTCAGGAACTGTTAACACAGCATGAGTATGAGATCAGGTTATCTATCCATGAAATAAACCTACAGTTTATGCCAAAGTGCATGAAAAACAATAATAGCTGATGAAAAACCATAATAACTAGGAGCTGTGCAATTCAATAGCCTCTTATTAGCTGAAGAAGACTGAGTAAAAGTTGATTTTAAGAAGTCAGTCACTTAATTAAATGGTAGCACCAGGGATTTAAAACAGCAATTCAGAACTCTGATTGTTCTGGTTGCCAATACTAGTCCTGACCAGAGACCTCAAAGAAAAGGGCAACTCTGCTGTTGAAGGAGTGCAGGTGGCCCAAAGTTGTTGGTGTAAGCTCTAAAACAGGAAGCTTCTATCCACCATGATCCCTCACTATTGTCTCTTTTAAATATGGATAACTTAAGCAATCCATTTTTGTTTTGTTTTGCTTTTAACAAGCTCTATTTAAGAGCGTGATTTAAATCTTGAAATCTTGGCTCAGGGAGAATTTGTGATGGGGAATTCCACTGGCTGAACATGAGATGCCACAGAGAAACATACACATTATAAAAATGCATACCCAGACACAAACTTATTGGTACCTCTGGAGTTCTGTGCAAAGCTCTAAGTTGATTACATTATTCTAGTACACCAGTTTTGTATTTTCTTTGCAAAACAATAGGATTCTTTGTGTATAAGCTGTTAAAAATCACCTACGTGTTTTTCTTGGCCTCTTACATGTCTTTAATATGCATTTTTATACAGTCAATGCAACCAAGGAGTAGGTCAGCTTATCACAAAAACAAATCAAAACAAAAACAGGCAAAGCTCTTAGATTAGTTCAAACAGCCACAGGTAAACCAGAAATGGTCCCCAATCCAGAAAAAGAACACAGATAAAAATATCTTAAAACATGCTGGGATGGGGAGCAAGACAGAATTGCTAGAAGGATTGAGTTCCACAGCTGGAGTATCTCAGATAACTACTGCCTACTCAACTCAACCTTCCTTTGCACATTTGCACTGCTCCTCTGCTTACACTGAAACTACATTGGCTGTATTGAAAGTATTAGGCAAAACATCTGATAAGAATCAGACTTTTTTTCAACAGTGTAGTTACTCTGTAGCTTTTTTTTTTTTTTTGAATGAGTAAATTAAAAGTGAGTTCTAGTCTTGTTCATATTTATTTCATATGTCAGTTAACTTCCTTTCCTCCAGATTTAACATTTCCATCATACCATATCTCCAGCCTATTTCTCCCTCTTGAAAACCATTCTCTGACCAAAACAAGTCCAAAGGACTAGATAGGATGCATCTGATAGTATGGAGAGAACTGTCTGAAACCTTCATGAGACTCCTCTTTAATAGGTTGTGAAACAGGAGAGGCTCCCCAATGGCTTCAGAAAGGCAAATACTAAAGCAAGAAGTACAACATGAGGAATCATAGGCAGGTCACCCTCACTTCCCTTCCTGGAAAATCACAGAATGAGGAGTCTTGGAAGATTTCCAACCTGATATGGCTTATTTCCATTTAACTCTGTAGCCTCCTTAGTAAACAGCTATCAACTGCAAACACAAAGCATAAAACACAAGATTTATCTCTTTTCTTACCTGCAACCTTGTTTTAGGAACATCTGTTCTAGCATATCAATCCCAAACAGTTGAAAAACTGCTGCTTGATACAGCTGTAATAGGAATCACGCTGAGGTCTTCAACATCATTTCTGTTGTCTTCTAAACAGTAGCATAAGAAAAAAAGAAACAGCAACACCAGGAAACACATCAAAATCTGGTAATCAAAACTGTTACATGGCAGAGATTAATTAACTCTTACACTGTTTCACCTAAATAAGCCTTTTCCTCATTATTGCTTTAATGAAATAAATGAAACCGACTTTCCTTTGTCTCCTGCATCCATTATTGGACAGATGCACCTATTTAATTTAACTGAGGATTATAATGCTACATTTGAAGGTGTTAGAGCTCTACTGATAGATACTAGTGATACTGACAACAGTTCATAGTAACTTACTGTACCTTCATAAATTGTCAAAATCTTGTCAAAATGCTGCGTTAAATTACATCTAATGTTACAACACCAAACACAGCAAACATAATATAAATGTTAGAAATGTTAGAGTTACAACAACATACTTGAATAAAAAGCACCAACTACACTGGCGCATTATTTTAAGTCAACATTTAATGCTCGGAAGAAGTTGTCAACAATTAAAAGCATGTATGGAATGCTGTTCCAGGATGTAGAGAACAAGTCAACTTTGGAAAACTAGCACCAGGAGAGAGTAATTTATATCATATAATGATATGTTAATGGAAAGATAAAGTAATTACTCTTGACTGAAAAAAGTGTAAACATTTTAATGTCAACTAATGTTTATGGTGGATAAGGTGCTCAGAAATATTAAGAACACTTTCTAAAATTAGATCTTGTTTTCTGCCAATGAAGGGGACACATCCAAGAAATGAAGATGCCTTTTCTTTTGTGTGTTTTACCTATTCCGAATGCTTCTGCAGCTAGCCTGCAATTGCCCCACATTTCATGGCCACCTTTTTAACCAACACCATTATTTAAATTATTTTAGAACCCACATATTAAGATTCTGCTGAGTTCACCACTCATTCAGTTGCACTGTGATTCCAAATACAGACAGAACATAGATTTTTTTTCTAACTTCAAGAAACTCCATCCTCATCAGTTTACAAATACCATATTGGGCACTGGTGTTGATAAACGAATTCCAAACTCAAAAAGATACCCACTGAAAAGAAGGGATAATGTTAAATTAAAAAGAAAAAAACATGGCAATATCAGCCAAAAAACAATTGGCAATAAATTCTCTGTGTGCTGACATACCTGCTGTGAGCTAAACAAATACTGGAGTCTAAACATCATGATGGCTTAGTACACTGAAGTAATTAAAAAGTCAGGTGCCATATACATTAAAGTCAGTGATGAAAACATAATGTATTCAGCATCACAGAGAGCTTGCCACCTCCAGTGCAGCCAAGATTCCAACCCACAGGTACTTGCATAAGAGCCATTCTAATTCTAAAAATTCAAGGAACTTTTTCACTTAAGGAAGGATGACCAACAAAAAAGAATAACTTGGTAACAAGGTACATTTCAGTTCACGTAACAAGTTCGTGTTTCTCTATGATCATGAAGTATTTATGTCTAAAATGGTAAACACTAAAATTAATAGTTGTCTTCATTATTAGTGCAACTGTATCATTTAGCCCTGTTCCAAGGGCTCCATCTCAGCTGATGCTGTACAAACTCATGAAAAATCAGCACAGTCAAGTGAAATAGTCTAAAGAGGAAACAGTGTACCTTTAGTCAATAATTTAATCTCTAGAATCACTGATTATTTAATCAGTTAACAAGGAAATCTCCAATAGTATCACTCACTTTGCATAAACTGAAGCATTCAAGTAGCATATCTGAAAAAAAAAAAAAAAAACCATGTGAGAAACTCAAATAGTTGAGGAAAATAGTTTTGAGTTACTAATTAAGAAATACAATGCTTGACACCTATAAAGTTTTAAAACTAATTGCTTCACTCAGAAATCACCTGCATGAATTTGATTTGTTATAAAACTAGCCTAAATACTTTCCCCTACACATGGCTTCTCAGGGAAATAGCTGCAAACGAAGAAAAAAATAAACTTGATTTCAGTTTTGCATGTAATCATAATATTGTCCTTCCTTCATCATAAAAAAGTAATGAAGAAATTTTCTCACTCCAGATACATAATCTGGAGATCCAAATAAATTAACGTGAATAATGTTCAGATTTGACATAGTTCTAACTTACAAACAGTTCTCTTTGGCAAATGTATCTCTGAGCAAAACCTCCAAAGGCAACTGATATTGCCAAGTGTTTTATACTAGCTATGCAATCTTCCAATCCCTACCTTCTCTTGTAACTATAGAAAATTGCAGAAAAAACACTACATTATTTTCAAGAATTCACAGTGCAGGTATGAATTAATACCTATTTGCTTACCTTCGTGCTTCCAAATAAGAGTGCAGCTTCCTTCAATCTTCACATTAAAACAAACATTTAGATCTCTTAGAAAGAGCTTTCATAAAGAATGAAGTATATTGGGATCCTTTCTTTTCCTCCAATACCTGTTGCTGTTTGTAATTCTCTTTCCCACATATGCTGATTAAACTTCAGATATATTTAAATTAAACCACTGCAGAATTTGGAAGTGTATGAAACCCACAAACATACAAGAAATATCTTGTTGTGAGCTTTTTTTGCTGTGACAGTGTGAACAGAGTTTTAAAGTAGGTTAGGAAACTGCATACTAACCCAAACACAGAACAACATTTATTTTCATTTAATGATAACGTGTCTATGATTGAGCTTTTCAAATAATTCCACAACTGCAACTTCTTCCAAATTTAAATTGAATATAAAAGTAAATAAAGATGACATATATGGACACAAGAACTTCTTTTAAAAATTACATTTGACAGCAAGTCTCTTTCAAATGGAAAGTAATCCATTTCAATTAGCAGAGGTGGCAGTGAACTAACCATCATTGTTACATCACTGTTAGCTTCTATAATCTGGAGGACAGAGAAATAAGGGTTTGCTCTCTTTACCTCCTCCCTCCCCTTCCCCCCCCCCCCCCCCCCCACTTTCCAATGACTGGGTACAGAATTCTTGTGCAATATCTAAAGGTAAAAATTTCACATCATTTTTAAAAGCATTAAGTTGAAATACAAATTATATGCAGAGTGATGCTGAAAGCATTCTGAAGAATTTGTATTAAGAATCTTGATGAAATAGTATGGCATTCTTTAGCAAAATCTAGCCAACAGCTGTTGCATCAGTTTCATCTGATCACTGTTTCGTCACTGTTGCAACAGTTTCCATCACTACACCGTAAATCTGTTCCCTCTAGTGAACTGCATTACCGGCTGATAACTGCTCTGCCCATGAGCACAAATGAAGTTTTGAACATGAATGCACTTTTGAAGCAGCCAAGACAGCTTTACTGAAAAGGAAATGACCTTCCCTTCTAAGCCTTCTTCCCCTTTTTTCTAAGCTTCTGCAGATGGATGCAATTCTATGGACCATTGTTAGAGAAGCTTCTCACTATGAGAACCTAAAGTTGCTTAATGACACATTACAATCTGCAATGCTCTGCATGCAGTTCACTTTCTAAAACTTCTCATGCTGCTTCCTTTTCCAAACACGATGGGTTCAAGATGCATGATGTCTGGTTTCCAAGTATGCTTGTATTTGCTGTATGTTTTCATGCATTGAAGATTTATGATCAACGTCAAATTTCATTCTCTAAACTGGGGTGCCCACAAACATATTGTTCTTTGGAGAACAGCTCTCTGGCTCCATCGATGTAACTTGGACAGAGTAGTTACATCTTTCTGCAGCCCATGCTCGATCAAGATCCACAAGCCCCATACACTGCTTTCCTGAAAAAAAGAGGAAAGGAGAGCACAGAAAGTCTAAAAATACGCAAGCATTATCAGAAATATGTACTTCAATTTTAAGACGAAACATAGTAAGTCATCAAAAAAAAGTTCCAAATCTGCTTTAAAATCTATCTTAATCTGTTTTACTTCAAACAGACAAGCATTAATAGTTCTAAATCACATCTGCATCTTGTAACCTTCATTTACTAATGTTCTTCAGAAGGATTATTAACTCTGTACGTAGGGAGAAATATAATAGGCACAGCTATTTTTAAGTATTCCCAAAACTTGCAGAAGAGTGTGTGCATTAAAATAAAAGCCACAGGAAGAAAACAGCTAGTTTGTCCCTCAGCTCCTGAGTTGCTGAATCCTTACTCCTTTATAACCATAGTTGTTTTCCTACCACAATTTGATCTAAAATCTGAAAATCTTTGGTTACTAACAAGCAAGGAAGGAAGAAAATACTGAATAGTTATCCAGTGTAGATGATCTGAAGACACAAATGAAACTGTGAGCGAAGATCAGATTTGTGACTACGTGAGGAACCTGAATATCCACAAGTCTAAAGGTCCTGATGAGATGCATCCCAGAGTCCTGAGGGAACTGGCTGACACACAGTCGCCAAGCCACTCTCAAAGCCAGTATTACTGTCCCTTTTCTCTTTCTTGAAAGAATTGCAAAATTATGTATTTTTTGGACTGAGATCAGTACTCATAAAGAGAATTCATATTCAGTTCATCATCAGGACGTAAGTCAGGTATTCTAAACTACTCTCTTACTTGCTTATTTATTTCCCTTCAATATATATGGAATTTGGTTGCACCTGGTAAGCATCTGTGCAAGCTTAAGGTAGTTGGCATGAACATGTCCCCTAGTATCTTTGCATTTCAGGACAGCTGGTGCACATCACACTTCAATACAACGTTTAGTGGAGTCTTTCCTCTCTTTCCACAGTGAGCTGATGGCCAGAAGTATTTTTTCCTTCTCAACTGAATTCACTATTTTGACTTCATCAAGATAATGACATTTTGATTCTACTTTGGTGGTAGCCTCCAATTTGTGAGGGGAGCTATAATGCTGTACTTTGTGTGCAGCTTATTTAGGGGCTTTTAGGTAATTAAACAAAATTATGTTAGTTTACTGAGGCTGCATAATTGCTGAAATACATTTTACAATACTATTCTTGTAAGTAGAACAAGCCATTATCATTTACAACTGAAAATAAAAAGCCTTCAGTTGTTCAGAAATATTTTGCATTAAATGAAATCTGCAGAGGCTTCTCAATATCTGATTATGCATTGCACAAACATAAACAAAATCTCACAATGGCTGCAACACTAATCTGAGTTGATCTTAAGTGTTTTGCAAACATGACAAATCAGCCCAACATCAAGTTTCACAGCTGAAATAGTTAAATGGAATGGGAATGGTTTTCAATTCAGCTGAGAAGCGTTACCTAGAACCTTAAGGGGAAAAATAAAGCAACAACCATTCTTTAAAACATAAAAAGCAATGACATTTCCTGTCTGGGAAAGGGGAAAAATGATTTGTGTTTGGTCTTTGCCAGGAAAAAGAACATAGAAGTTATGTTTGTGATTAAAAAAAATTACAGTTTCAGAGAGAGAAAAGGTAACAGTTACAATCTTTAAAAGATGTTGAGTCCTCTTCCAACTTTCAGTCCATCTAGCAAACAGCAGGAGAAAATTCCTGTTGCTACACCGGTACCTGCATGCTGATTTTTTTTTCCATTCACAAATACCACAGATGATAGCAGAAGAACAGACAAGTTGTAAAATACTGTCATCTTAGTACCTGTGTTTCTTTTTCTGCAGCTAGTATAGGAAATAATCAAAATTCTTTGAACAAGTCTTATTGAAAAACATGATTCTTTGCTTCCACTGCTTTCATATACTTAGTAAGGGGGGAGGAATAACCATGTGCATCAATATCAGGCAGAGGATGACCTCCTGGAGGGGAGCGCTGCAGAAAAGGACCTAGGGGTCCTTAGGGGTCCCGGTGGTCAACAGGTTGGCCATGGCACAGTGGTGTGCCATTGTTGCCAGGAAGGCCAATGGTACTCTGGGGTGCATTAAAAAGATTGTGGCCACCAGGTCAAGGGAGGGCATCCTCTCCCCCTCTGCTCCATCCTGGTGAGGCCACGTGTAGACTACTGCATTCAGTTCTGGGCTCACCAGGAAAAAAAACAAGAAAGAAAAAAAACAAGGATCTCCTAGGAGGAGTCCTGTGGAGGGCCACAGAGATGATAAAGGGCCTGGAGCATCTCCTGTATGAGGAAAGGCTGAATAACATGGGAAAAGTTTGGCCTGGGGAAGAGACAACTGAGAGAAGATCTAATAAATGTTTATAAATATCTAAAGGGAGGTGGGAGGCTAAATGGATGAGGCCAGGTTCTTCTCAATGGCATGTAGTGGTAGGACAAGGACTAATGGCCTAAAACTCGAACATACAAAGTTCTATCTGCACAACCTACTGTGGGATACCTGCTTTAGCAGGACCTGATGATCTCCTCAGGTCATAGAATCACTTCAACCCCTGTCATTCTGTGATTGTGTGGTTCACACGAGCCAAGAATCCACCGTTATACCCTTAGAGTTCTCAAGCCCTTCTGTCTTTTCTGACATGGAATCTAGTTTATAGCTTCCACTGGAACATTAGTACCAGACAGGAGCACATTACAACCTCTTATGAATAAAAAAACTAGAATTTTGCACGTAATGAAGAAACAGCTTTGCCTATTCCATATTTTCAAAATCTTGTCTTTTTTTTTTATTATTTCTTCAGATAAAAAAATAGAAAAAGCAGTGGAAGAACAGTGAGGTGTACACTTATGCATAATAAGAACTTCTGTGCTTCTGATTATTAAATGCTATGTTATAGACTTTGCTGTCTATGTGAGTAATGAAATTACCACCAACTTTATGCATTTCTTTATCTCAGAAAACAGTTAAGCAATGATCTGAAATTATGGGGATGATATTGCTTTTGCCACTAACTGCAAGGAAATAACCCAAAAGAAGGCAGCTACTCTTACTCAAAATTGCAGTAATATAGAAATCTGAAGCTATAGCATAAGCTTTCCCACAATGGGAAACCTTGTAACCCCAATAAGGGGCAAGCCAAATTGTGCTCTGGTCAGAGTTGTCAAATTAGACTTACTCATTTAAATAGAGTCCCAGAAAATCTTCAGGATGTTGTCCAAGATTATTACAAATTTAGTACTGAGGTGGGCAGAATAGGTTTGCATGCCATGAAACCTGTCTGTATCAAATGTAGCCTAAATTCTGTGATGTAGTTTTGCTGTTTACAGCTGGTGCTACTTGCCCATCTGAATAGGTTACTACCAGCAATTACAAGCAGCATAAAGGGTTCACACTGCAAATCACTGCTACAAATAGCAAATGCTTTTAATGTGAAATGGACTGGCAATAGAAGGACTTCGCTGAAGTTCACAAAAACCTCACTTTTTTCATAGAAGGGAAAAACGTGGAGAAGAAAAAAGTAAAATGCAATCCCTCTGGCTCATGCTAATAGCCAGGAACAAAGACACCAGTTTTAACAGCATAGTTCAGAACAGCAAGGAGAAAAATGTGAAGAAACCCAGATTTCACAGCACTGTTTATTCCTTTATATAGCAATGTAAAGACTTTACTGAAATGTTTTAAGTAATAGCTGTAGAAATTCATACCTATCAGCTTCCGATCAGGTGGAAGATGAACAGCTGTCTGATCTGCAAACCTACAAAGGATCATGTGCTCCTAAAAGGAAAAGTAAAGATACTTAGTTCATAGCATTTCTTTCTTTTGAATACTAATTAATTACTAATTAATACTAATACTAAAATCTAATTGGGGTTGGAACTAGATGATTTTAAGATCTCTTCCAATCCAAGCTATTCTGTGACTCTATGATTCTAGTTTACTATTCAGATATATTAAAAAACACTATCATGTAGAAAACTGTTTCAAGAAAAAAAAAAAAAATCAGTGTGCAAATCCTAATTTTATATTACTTTGCGTTGTAAAAAAAATTGAAAAAAATCAAGTGCAACTATAAGCAGATTTCTACTCAAGTATATATGTTTCTTGCCTGCCTTTAAACTCAAATTGTACTTAATTTAATCATATGGTACAATTGAGGCAGTTCCCTACTATAGCTAACACAAGGGTTTTCAGCTCACAGCTCCATAATAAATGTGCAATGTGCTATAACATGATTAGAACTCAGTATGTTTTGCTCGGGCATTTTTGCTATATTTTTTGGTTTAAATATTACTATTTCTGTAGAATGAAAGGATTGAAAATGCTTAAACCAGAAATAGGTACTAGGGAACAGAGAAAAAAAAAGAGACAGGCAACGTAGCTGTTTTTAGGAGAGAGGGAACAGCAGAGAGATAAGCAGCTTGGGAAGAAAAAGAGGGGTTTGGCAGGAGAGGAAGAATAAAAGACTTGCCACTTAACCTGGAAATCTGGACTGACTCCAGTGCCTTAGCTTCCTACCAGAGATGAGCCTTAAAGTTAAGGCTTGAAGTCTAACTTATGACCATATCTTTTTCCTGTGACAGAACCAGTAAATTGTGACACCTTCTGTTGGTTAAAAATGAGGAGAAAAGCATTTCTGAAGTAACTAGGATAACCACTTTAAACTGCACAAACTTTGTGCATGCAGAAGCCATTAACTTGCTTTTTAGAATACCCACAAAAATGCCTATCAAGTTTTCAAAGCCATATATCTAAAGTTATTCATTCTTTCCTTCTAGGTCTTTGACAGGGAGAGCATCTTGACAAATAGAGTTTTAAAAAAATGTATCATGATAGTCATCTAGAGCTACCATAACCTTTGCAACTGTAAATGAATGAATTACAGCATAATGTTCTCATCAAAAACGTTTTAGAACTGCCAGACTTCTGGATGTCTTTTTAGATCTCACTAAAATGGGAGATAAGAGAAATGAATTTCAAATGGGAACTGGAGGGGGGTGACACAGACAATGTCTGGCTAGCACATGGTAGCTTTGGCTACTAGCCAGCATCCTATAACAGTTTAGGAATATGAAATATATAAAAATGCATACAGCTAGCTGTGTAACAGAAGTTATTTATAACTAGGATTACTTGAGGCACCATCCAGCCGAGATCATTTGTACAAACTCTTACATTATTAAGAACAGAAATATTTTTTTAGCATTGTCCTTGGCCCCTATGCAGTTCTGCAACACAGAAACGATGCTGAAATTTCTGAAGAGGTGATAAAACATGCAATTTAAATTTCCAGATACAAATAGATTCAAGGAAAAAAAAAAAGAGCAGAAAAACAACAACAACAAAAATCAGAACTTCAATAATATTGCACACACTATCCTAACCTAGGCTTCCTTGATTTCATGTCACCATACCTGTCTGTACTGTCAACTGGTCAACTTTTAACAATATGTGAGCAAGTATTTTCTAACCTCAAACCTTAATTTTTCTTGATTGTGTGTTAAAAGTTGTAAACGTGCTGAAGGAATGTTAACCGATGAAAAAACTAATCACAGATTCAAATCTCACTATGCCCTTTTATCAATGCAAACTATGGAAATTTATTTCTGTGCAAGTCAGTGAAGTGTTAAATCAGTCTGTCACAAAGACTATAATAACTGAACCTCCCTGTATAAGCTGGCTGAAGTTTTTTTTCTTTCTCAAATGTCCTCTTACTGCAGGATCAAAAAGGTCTGCCTGCTATATACAGCATTCTTCAGTATGCTCAGTGTCTCAAAGCATGTCTGGAGATTAAAAATAGCATCTTCCAAACATCTTTTTGTAATAGAAGACTATTCTGCATCTCCAAAATTCTTTTCTAAACACTGAGACTTTGCCTAGGATGTGATAAATTAGTGTTAATTAAGTTTCTATATAATCTTGCTTCTCTTGAATAGAAATATTCTCTTTCCATACCACATTAAGTGCATCTAACCTTCACAACCCTGGTTGCTCATCACTAAGTTTAAACACAGTGGACAAATCTCCATGAATCGGTACCAGTCATCTCCTGACTACTGCACTGTCTTGTCCTATTTTACTCCTCTGTTATCTTCATTTTGTCAGACCTGCATGCTTCACTGCTTCTTTCTCCCACTTTTCTCACACTACATCCACACAGACCATGTCTCTCCAGGATCAAAACACATTTGAATCTTTTAAAATTAATTTTACGTAAAGTTTTTAAAACAGTACTGCACAAAATTCTTGATGAAGAGAATTATCTTTTCCTGCTCATTGTATGAGATCTTCTAGACATAAATTTGAGGGAGAAGTACGATTTCACCAGAAAATAGTATCTATAAAAGTAACAATTGTATCTAAAAACGATTACAAGTTTCTACAGTGTAAACGTTAGTATTTAAGACTAGATAACTAAACTGCTACCCTGTAACTTTTAACTGATACATGTTGAAGGAGATTCCTTAGGATTGGTTTAGGAATTGCTCTTCTACAACTTATGACAAAAATAAGACGACCTTTTCTGGAAAATAATATTTAAATTTATGGAAAGAAACTTAAAAAAAAAAAAGCATGGTGGAGAGAAGGCAGCACAGTGACATCTGCACTACTGCATAACACAAGCATTCCTTCTCAATTATAAGATAAATACTCATATTTCATTTGATAAGACCCAGTGAAGTGCAAGGAATGGCACAACACACCATCCATTCACAACACCCAGCTGCTTACTTTACATACCTTGTAGGATAAAATTTCCCTGAACTGATGACTGGAAAAAGAAAGAGACAATTCAATTAACATCTTAAAACGTCCAGCTGCAATATAAAAGCAATCCCTTACATACCAGACCACATTTTAAACAGAACAGCACTATCTGTAGCAAACCAAAAGACATTCAAGAGACTGTACATGAATACACCTCATTTACAAATACAGAAAAAGCACATTTGATGTTTTTTTCACTTCTATTGAATTATTCATAGAAACCCTCCCTTTAAACCATTAAAAATGCTATCAGAGGTTTACTAGGTTTTCCATATTTTCACATACTAGGTATTATACAGGCATACAACTTCTAGACGTGCATATATTTTCTGTGCATCACTAACATAAGTTTCTAAGATGGAACTGAGTGGGGAGAAAAGGGCCACACAGAGAACGTGAGTCATGTAGTAATACGGGCAGTCTGGTACGTTTTATAATCTTTTTTCTCCCCCTCATTTTTTAAAAGTAAGCTCTAAAAGATAGCTCAAGAAAGGTTTGATAAGTTGTGAACCACAGCATTTCCTACACTGGCTTATACTGTCACGATTCATAATTTTAGCAAAGACGCCAACAATTCACCATCTTGCAGCACCTATAGAAACAAAAGATTCCTAACAGTGTGCATTTCTGGTCTTCACGACCTAAAACCATAACCTGTCAAAAGCTGCTGTTTAACAAGCCAATGGAAAAGTTGCATTATGCGCTAACTTCAGAAAGCCTACAATTTTATTGCCGCCTCTGTAAGAATACTGCTTTTTTGTTTTCTCCACTGACAAAGAACAAAAGGGACACAGACGAAGATACAGGAAATTGAGAAAGAAAGCACCGTTAAATGCAGAGTTCATCAAACCAGTAAATTTTAAATTATTTACTCTCCAAACACTTCTGTGACAACGCTCTTGAATACTGGAGAAAAATATGAAAAATATTTTGCATTATGTTAGATTGTCAGATCCCTTTTTATACAGTGTGTTTCAGCTCCTTACTGTAGCAAATATGGATCTGAGACAATACTGTAATTCCTAGTATGATTAAGTCTGATCCATCTTGGACACATAAAAGGCAAAGCTCAGCTTCAGGAAATAAAATAAACCTCTCCCCAACCTAGCTCTACGAGGAAAGCAGTTAGCATCTTCTGCCACTTTCTGCCTGAATTCTACATTCTATTTGTATCAGCGAAAGGCATTAAAATTCTTAAGCCTACATACATACATAAACATCTCCAACATGGCTAATTTGGAGAACAGAATAGCTACACTGTTCACTGAAAAAGTATTAAAAATATGATCCAAAAAACAACAACAACAACAAAAATCAGGAATGCTGATCTACATGGGAATAAATCAGAACAGTTTCACAAGCAATAAACTGCAGCATAAAGCAGATTCATTTATTTAAACTGATTGCTTACATCTTTCTCCAGTATTAAAACGTCAATTCCCCTTCTTACAGTTCTTTCCATGAGCTTTCTATTAGTGCAGTGATTTCAAGGTAAAAGGTCTGCATATTACAGCAATTTCTACAAACTCCATCTACTATGTTTATAGTGTAAAGCCTTTGTGAACTTCAATGAATAGATAAATCCAGAAAAATAACCCAGAAATTACCCTTTTAGGGTAATCTCCCTGTCAGGGATGAATTTGCAATTAGAAAGAGAAGTTAGCTGCATTGCAATTGAGAACAATTCAGCCCAGACACCTACAACGATTGACTAATTTTGCAATCCTTTAGCATTTCTTTTTTAAATTTAAATTGGTATTTTAAAGTTTATCTTGTTAGCCCTAGTGTACCTTCTTGGATATTTAAACTTCACAGTGTTCTGAATGAAGCCATAACAACAAGGGGAGATGACAAAGGCTGCTCGGGCCTTGATGCAATGTTCAATCACCATGTCTGTTGCCACACCACATGCATGTAGAGCCACCTACAATGTTGAAAACAACAACAACAAAACAACACAACAACAACAAAAAAAAAAACAGGAATAAGCAAATTCTTTACAGCAATATCCTACATACAATCCTGTTGCATATTTTTGATTGAGTTACTTAAATATCTGAAGAGTATTTAGCAATGAAAACTGTTAAGCCAAAGGCTGCGGCCTGATATTTAATTCTTGGTTTTTCATTTCTCTCTTCCCCGTTTATGCAGATGAAACTTTATGGCCAACTGCACTCACAAGGGAGTCACCAACAGTAAACAAAGGTTCAGAAACAGTCATAAGATAAATGCATGCATGGGTGCACCGCACTGCCATATCAACTCAAAGGAAAACAAAGTTCCAGAAAAACACTGAAGAAACTACTATGGAGATTGGTCAAAAATTTCTGTTTAAGCAAAAAGGATTTACAAATACAAAAAAACTCATTCCCATTTGTACCTTGTTAGATACCAGACAGTCCCAAAGATCAAACAAAAGTCAACAACGGACCTCACTTGACCTGCTTCTACGGTCTCTCAGCTCTGGAGAAATAGTCTGCCATTCCCTTGATTGAAAATTCTGCCTGCTACTTTATACAGTGGTTCAGATTTGTAAAGCTGCATTGTTTTCTATGCTTTTATTTCTGTGAATTTAGGAAAAAACACTTAAAACTGCAAAGCTCACGTTTCAAGGTTCAAAGCTGTTTTTCAAGGTACAGCAATCGGAAGATAAAAAATTCTCTCTCAAATGTGGATTATAACAAAGACTTTTTTGTTTGCTGGCTGCTTGATGTAAGCCAAGCTGAGCAGACCATTAATTGTGAGCTGAACTATAACTGCACACAGATGGTAACAAATACTCTTGTCTCAAGGAGAACTTTCAAATTAATAGATGTAGTAACTTCAATTATTTTTTTCTGTTTTTATAAATTTAACAACAAAAATAAAACTGGTTTAAGATTAGAACGAGTTTTAATATTGCAGCTATTAGATTATCATGGAGTAGTTACTTCTACATTTCTCCAAAGACCTCTGCTTTGCTTGCATGCTTGGGAAGGAGACCTAAAACCCATGTCGGTTAAATAACAACCACCAAACCAGTAGTTTTGCTGAGCCTACATGGACTTAAAGCCAATTGGTTTCTTCTTCATTCCTCAGAACCAACTTGCTCAAGAGAAAAATCACAAATAAAATTCAAGGCAGTTTTTTTTTTAGGACATCCTATATAACAAACATGCTACCTGAAACAAAGAGAACGCAGACAAATGCAGATAATGCATTTTGGTCACAAATTCACTTGTGGAGAAAGGAAAGCAGCCCCTGAAGAGAACAATAGTTGACTTAATGCAGTGTGAGACCACTGACCTGAATTTATTCCCTGATGATCCAATAGAGCAAAAGGGAATTGCTTGATAAATTCTTCTAAACCTGCTTTTGAGCTCCTCACACATAACACTTAAGAAAATAGCCAAATAACGCAGTTATTCATTTTATATTATCTAAAGATACATATACACACGTTTTAAATGAATACCAGAAGGAGCAAGATGAAGATTTCTGTCAAGTTGATTTTTTTCATGTCTTTAAGTTTTGTTAACTATGAGAGATCACCTTTACAAGAACAGTTTAGGAATGATACCCTGTCAAACTTTGTATACATCTATGCATCATTACACTGTTATTTGTGTAACAGACCAGCATTTGTGACAATGATTCAAAGGTAGCTAAACTTCACATAATTCAACTTCCAAGATACCATCAAGCATTTGGGCTACTGCTAAGAAAAGCAGTCAGCTCCTCCCTTACATACAGCTGCAAAGAAAATGTGAGCACATGCAGAAGAATGAATCGTTATATGAGACAAACTAATTCCATAACTTAGATTGATTCAGGTCTCCAGAAAGAGAAAGCTGCAGGTTTGTTTCCTCAAAGAGCCTACAGAATCAAGAGAATCAAGCTAAGTACACTGAAATCACAGGCCTGGAAATGAAAAATTTGAAAAGAAAATTTTCTGCTGATGTCTATTTAAATATTTAAACTTGTCACAAGATTTGAGAGAATATAACATCCTTTTATTAAATAAAAACTTCACACAGATGATTAACTTAGTATTAATCTTAAAAAAGAGCAGAAAAAGATCTAAAACTCCCGTGGCCACAAAACTGGAGGCAAACTTCTCTGACAATCTATTATACATTTCACTCTCACCAATCACTAACTTATTCATGAGATTGTGTTGTTTTTTAAAAAACTAATCTCTGATTCATTAAATGAAATCTAAACAACAATATAACACAGAAAATAAAGGTAGACAATTGGAAAATTGCAGTTGGAAAGACTGTGCTAAAATAATTTGTTATCCCCCTTCTGCTGCGCTATGCTTCATTTTCTTGAAGAAACAAACAAATCGTTTAACAGATCTGGAGGATTTATGTGCCATGAACCTTCAGCATTAAACATTATAAGATGTAGTGGAAGAAGCCCCTTGGATGGATAGTTTAAGGAACAATCAGACTTGCATCCAAAGATGAGAACTTGTTGTAAAAGTTCATATTCCATTCATTAAGAGAAAACAAGACTATAAGAGAGGAATCTTTACAGCATTATGCTGTACACTTTACCACTTTAGAAATCTGGAGAGGAATTTACTTTCCGGGTCTAACGCAGACACTTTGAATCAGTATTCAAATCATAAAATCATAGAATCTTTTGAGTTGGAAGGAATTCCTAAAAGCCATGTGGTCCAACTGCCCTGCAATAAACAGGGACACCTACAGCCCCATCAGGAGCTCAGAGCTCCTCCAGCCTGACCTTGGCTGTGTCCAGGGACGGGGCATTCACTGCCTCTCTGGGCAAATTGTGCCAGTGCCTCACCAGCCTTAGTGTAAAAAACTTCTTCAAGTCCAATCTCCTCTCTTTCAGTGTGAAACCATTTCCCCTTGTCCTGTCACAACAGATTCTGCTAAAGAGCCTGTCACCTTCCTTCTTATAGCCCCCCCCTTAGATACTGAAAAGCCGCCTCCTGGAGCCCCAGCTCTCAGCTCGTCCTCACAGGGAGGTGTTCCATCCCTTGGGTCACTTCTGTGGCCCTCCTCTGGACACTCCAACATATCCACATCTCTCCTGTATGAGGACTCCCCCAACCCCAATCTAGACACAGTGCTCCAGGTGAGGTCTCACAATGCAGAGCTGAGAGGCAGGATCACCTCCTGTTGGCCACACTTCTGTTGATGCAACCCAGGATACAGTTTGCTTTCCAGGCTGTGAGGGCACACTGCTGGCTCATGTCCAGTTGCCGTTCACCATTTCCTCCAAGTCCTTTTCAGCAGGGCTGTGCTTCATCCTTTTACTTCCCAGCTTGCATTGACAGCAGGGCTGCCACAACCCAGGTTCAGACCTTGCACTTGGCTTCGATGAGCCTCATGAAGCTCATCTGGGCCCACAGCTCAGCCTGTCTGGGTCTCTATTTACAGTCACTGTGAATCAAAATATCACCCACTGGCTGCAACAGAAGTGATCATTATAAGTCTTAAAAAACTGAGATATTCTACATTTATGAACACAGCTCAAGTATATGCTTCACAAAGAACAGCCACATAGATCATTAGTATAACATTCTCCCTGTCATGATAGTTAGACTCAAAATATCCTGGAGTGGAAGAGACTCAGGAAAGACTATAAATCCAACTCCTGGTTCCACACAGGACTACCCAAAAACCCAAGCCCTGTGTCTAAAAGTGGTGCCCAGATGCTCCTTGAACTACAGCAGCTGGGGGCCATGCTGATTGCCCTGGAGAGCCTGTTTCGTGCCCACCGCCCTCTGGTGGAGAACCTTTTCCTAACACCCAACCTGATGACCCTGACAGCTCCACGCCATTCCTTCAGGTCCTGTCACTGCCACCAGAAAGCATATATCAGCACTGCCCCTCTGCTCCCTGTGAGGAGCTGCAGCTGCTATGAGGCCTCCCCCCTTAGCTGGTCCTCATACATCTCGTCCTCTAGACCCTTCACCATTTTCATAGCCCTTCTTTGGACGCTTCTTGATAGCTTGATGTTTTTCTTCCACTGCAGTGCCCAAATCTGCACCCAGTGCTCTAAGTGAGAGCAGAGAAGGACAATCCCTTTCCTCACTGAGTGGCAGTACCAAGCCTGATGCATCCCAGGGTACTGCTTGTCTTTTAGGCCACCTATGAATGTGAGTCCGCAGTGTGCAACTTGCCATCAGCCAGAACTTCCCCAGGTCCCTTTCCATAGGGTTGCTCTCCAGCCTCTTGTCCCTCCACACGCAACCAGGGCTGCCTCGCTCCAGGTGTAGAATTTGGCATTTGCTCCTGTTGAACTTCATCCAATTGGTGACTACCCAGCCCTCCAATCCGTTGGCATTTCTCTACAAGGTTTCTTGTCAGTTTTGCATTGTGAAATCCTGAGTTTGTTTTATCTTAACTGCTTTTCTCCTTTCTACATTTCAGATCTCACTTTACCATACCCCCCCATACCCAGGCTTATTCTGACCACGAGCAGTCTTTTCCTTCTGCCTTCAAAACCCTCTCCAGATTATCTCATCAGCAAGCTGCTTATTTCAAAATCACGTGATTAAACCAAAAATGTGCCACACTATTTTTCAACACATTCCAGCAGTACTCATTTTTGTATTTGATTGGAGCAGACTCTTCCTTCTTCACTCATATAATGACCAAAGCGATGTCAGTTTGCAACAAATGATAAATACAAACCCAACCTAACGTAGGTTAAAATAGTAAGGATTCTTCTCACGGCATCAGAAATAATTGTTCGTACAAATATAAAATTTTCTTGTCTCAAATATTGTAATTGTTTTAAGAACAATTAATCAGATATTGAAATTAATGTTCTGAAGTTGAAAAGCTATGAACACTTACCCCAATGTTAAAAGTGCCATTAAAATAGTCCAGGTTTGCTTGAATAAATGAAATGTTGTTTAAACCTAGTTCATCACTTCTGTCTTTAGCACGCATCAGAGACAACTCCTTATTTTCTATGAGCACCACCTAGGTTTCACACATACAACACAGTAAGACAAAATAATACTGAAAAAATCAAAGAGCAACATTACTAACATGCACAAAACTTTGTTGTTTAGTTGAGAAAACTCCTCAATTTGTAAGATGTACAGAATATTAGCAGGTGACATAATGAAAGGCATCAAAGATCTACCAATATCAATCAGTTAGCAAATATTTTTACATTTCCCTCCAACTAGAACTTCCTTTCCCCAGGCACACACCTCACATACTTGCAGTTACACTAGGAATTTGCATGTTTCAAATCTCTGCCTTAAAGTTTTGTTGTTGGTGGTGGTGGTTGTTTTTTTTTTTGTTTGTTTGTTTTTTGCAAAGTTAAGTTGTATGGAAGTCTGGGTCACATCAGCAAGACTGGATGGCTCAGCTCTACTGCTGGCTTCTTGACTTTGGCATCATGTTTGCTCTGAAAGTGAAGAGCCACTTTCCTGCTAGTCAGTGAAAAGAATTTGATAGGTACACGCCAATGACAGATCATGACCTCTAAGGCAAATGTTTCCAAACAATTTTTTTTTGCTCTCCAACTGCAGTGAAAAATCTTTAAACTCAAAAGGTTGTCTCTGAAGGGTTAAAATACCCTAAATTATTTTTTTTAAAGGCAAGACAAAGTAACTGGATGAGACAGAAGAGAAAAACAAAGCATATGTAACGTAAGTAACTGTTTTTATAGTTCATGTCATTTCATGAGGCTGCTTGCTACCAGCCAACTCAGTGAGAGGTGTGAGTGAAACCTTGAGTTCTCTGAGGAGTTCTTCATCTACTTCCTGCAGGATCTCTTTTGCTGGTGCACAGCCATAGTCTGTAAATGCATATCCTGACCAAGCCATGCCCAGAAACATACCTAGCAACACAGCTAAAGAGGAAACCAGCCTCTCGGTCCTTTCACTAAATTTCATCTCACGGTGATTTCCCCAGCCAGGAGAAGAGAGTGAAATCATCACCAATTCAGCAGTGTTGGAAAAAAAAAAAATCTTATTTTTTCTTTTGGACCTCATTTCCACAACACAACACTACAAAGACAAAAGTTACAAGAAGAAAGCTAAGGAAAAACCCTCTTCAATCACTTCCTTGATTGAGCAGAATTCACTGCAGACTGAGCATAGCACATGTATACAAGTACACAAATGAAACAATAACCTCTGTAAGATTTCTAGTAGCAACAGTGCTATCATATCACACTTAGGCTTTCTTGAGGTTAAAAAAAAAAAAAAAAAAAAAAAGGGTGCAGAGGCATTGCCAGATACTCCTCTCATTACAAGGGCTTCATTTCCATACAAACTTTACAACACAAGCTTAGGGGCTTTGTTAGAAAGCAGTAATATCATCCATACACTGTATTTAGTTATTTTGCTCTTTCAGTGCACATTCAATTACATACTTGTACTTTGAAGTACATTTAGTTTTTTTGTTTGTTTGTTTTTCTCTTTTTCTGAAGAGGAACTTCTAAACTTTCCTTTTCGGTGATAACACCTATGCTACTCCCTACTAATACAATGTGATAAGTACAGGTACTATATTTGTAGAGCAGAAGCCTTCCTAAAAAGTTCGTTTTGTCTTCAAGATCATTCTCCCTAGCTGCACATGTTTTTAAATATGATATTAGAGAACAAAAGCTCATACCATCTGTACTTTTTATTTAGAACTTACCTGACATGATGGCATCATGTGAGCAAGAACAATTCCAACATGACCCTGTGAAAAGAAAAACAAACAGTAAAATTTGAGTCACTTTTCAATGTTGGTGTGTCATCTCATGCTGAGTATCCCTTAACAGCTGACAGAACACCCAAAAGCAGTTAAAATTTCAGCATATTTACTTCACTTTGCAGCAGCATCTATGTACAACTGCAAAGATGAAAACCAAAAGAAATTGCAACACATGAGAAAATATACCTTACCCCTCCACTGCAGAAATCCACAATCACATCTCCAGGCTTAGCAAGCTTTGTCACTGCTGCTACCAAGTTATTCAACTGCTGCTGTTTCCTCAGAGCTCGATCTCTAGACATCTTTCCTGAGGATAACAGAGAAAAACGTCTGAACAGTGATGAGCACTTCTCAACATACGTTACTTCAGATGGGTAACAGCAAAGCACAGGTATCTGAAATTTATGGCTGAAACTAAAAAATGTCTAAAACACTTGGGCATCCAAATCCACTTTCAGCTAAATTTACAGATACTCCATAGAGCTTTCTGCCTTCACAAAACCTTACAGCTGTTGCTGTTAATGTATCCTTAGGAACACGTGAGAATAAGCTTTAGCCTGATAATAACCAAACCTCCAAATTAATCAGAAACAAGGCTCAAACCTATTAACAGTATTTGCAGCCAAAACAAACACATACAATATCCTTATGCATCTTGTTTTAAAAGGTTGTACTTAAGTAATTACTGCACTGTGATACTAAAATGTATGCCACTGCTTAATGGATATTAAGAGATTGGATACAGCCTCCAACATCTATTAGAAAATATTACATCCTTCTCTTTTGTCATCATAAAATAGTATATTTTACAGAATCAAAGCCATCATTACATTTCAAAATATGCTATAACCATGAGTCTAGAAAATACAACAAGAATGTATGTAAGGAATGTGGATAGGAAACCTTTATCGCATCATGCAAAATAATAACATTTTAATGAACCATTTATTTTGTTTGAGAGCAAAAGCTTGGAAAATCTTTATTACAGACTATATTTTAAATTGTAATTCCTCATATGCCAATCACCCACAAGAACTATGCCTGCCTTCAATTTTAACATCTCTTCCTGAAACACCTCCAATTTTAAACGAATCCAGTGGAAGCAGCAGCATTTCAGCACATGCAACATCAAGGGCTGTTAGCATACCTAAGCAAGAAATCCAGTTTGTGAGGTTGAACCTATCATTTGTTACAGGCAGATATTGTGATGTTAGTATGCACACAAAACGCCGTACCTAAAAAACCACACTATGTGCACATATATGCGTGCTTGCACATACATGCACACACAACCTGAATGGATTTAATTTTTAAAAGTAGCTACTGTCAGGCACATGCAGTAAATGGTAATATATTGGTTCTTAGCTAATACATTGATCCCTATTGCTTCAACAGCCTCCAACAATGGAAAGAGAAAAAAATACTATTTATATTTGTCTTCTGTATCTCACATACATGAAACGTAACTGTGATAAAGAGAGCACATTTATTTAACAAGGACTTCTATCTAGATAACATGGGCTATTACTTGGGTTTATCTTCATCAATCAACAGATCTTATGGTCTTTGTTTTAATTTCAATTCCATCTCATAGAGTACTTATTAAAAATAGTTGCTGCTCTAAAACCAAAAGCACTGATCAGATTCTTTATGTGGAGGCAGCAAGAAACTGGATTATTTGAATTCCTTCACCTGATAAGCAAACAAGCAGTCAAACAAGCCCAGACTTCCCAGCACATCCAGCTTCCTTAGAACCCCACTAGAAGTCCTTCGCACCGAATACTTGTTTGGCTACAAACACACTGCAGCACCTCAGTTTGGTAAACCCCAGCTGTCCCAACAGCTCTTTGAGGGCAGCAATAGCAGCACTGCTACGACAGCTCTGCATTTAGGGCCAGCTAGCCTTCCCTCTTCCCCCTTCATATACGTTGAACTGATTTTAACAAGCATTTGCTCTCACAAGCATTATCTTAAGTATTTACCACACACCACTAAGTTTGACCTTCACAAATTTTCTTTCTTTCTATTTCGTAAAAACAAATAATGCAAGTACTTAAAGCTCATTCATGATATAAAAATGCAAATCTACTTGGTGGAAAGCTCTCAGAATTCAACTCTGAACTCAAGTCATCTCTGCAATTCATTTAATGGGGTTCTTTGTAACCACATTGTTCCCTGGCAACTTTTGTACTGTGGTCTTATACCTGCTTTCAACTTTAAATCTTCTTAATTTTGAGAGTGACCAGGCAGACAATTTTGTTATTAATCCCACCTCTCAGCACACATTAGCACAACTGTTCTGTTTTGTTGTGCCAGATAGAAAGATAGACCACACCTGCCAAGCACCAAACAGCACACAAATCCCTGCACAAAAATGCCCTTAATTGCCTTCCCCAAATTCTCTGTTTTTATTCCCCAACTCTAAGGTTTTTCTGACATGTCAGGGATTTATCAGTATCAAGTATACCTACTGAAAAACCCTCCAAATTCTCATTCTGTGCAGTCAGCAAAACAGATCCTAGTCACTAAAATCAAAACAAAAGCTAGCAGCTTTCATCAGCAACAGATCCACTATTTAATCTTCAGTTAGACAACCAGCTTATTAGTAAGTTAATACAAAATACTTTCAAAAATTTCTATTAATAGCCTTTAAAAACTCTCTAAAATGCAACTCTTCATAGTTACCAACAAGGTTTAATCCTTACTGTGCAGAAAATAAGTAGCACATACTCCCTTAAAAGAGAGAAAACCAAGCTCAAATCAATAGGTCTTTTGTCTACCTCTGTATCTGATGTGCAGTAGCTAGAATTACGGAAAGTGAGTGAGCCATAACATAGCCTTTAGGGAATGTTGGCACGGTGTGTGTGTTCATCCTTCGCTACAGAAAACAGGCATTAAACTCAACTACAGCTTCTATGTCTAAAAACACAACATCTCGCTGTGCATTTCTCAACTCTTGTCATGATAAATAATGCTAATCACTGTTTTCAAGAATAATGAGATATGGTACCTTGATAGTTCATCCTGACAAGGCAAAACCTTGAAGAACGTGACCTTTTCCTACCATACACTGAAAAACCATTAAGAAGTGCTTTGTTCCTGTCACAAGAACTCAGCTGACATATTGCCAGACAGTCTTAGATTTATTTTCATTTCTGATTAACGATTGAAATGAAAATATTTAATTTAAATTCGTAAATCTAACATTACTGCTAATTCAGTCCTTGTCAAGCAGGACTTTAAACTCTCTATGGCACTTACAGCTTTTGCATTCTTGCACACAGAAATGTAATTGTTCAGCCAGCAAGTACCCCTCTATTTCTGTGTCATCTTTTGTCAGGGCTCAAGTTCATATAATCCATCAGTCCTCAAATGATAATTCAGAATTTCGTAAGTAAAACTTGAAAAGCCATTAAGGTTTCCTGCAGCAAAATCCAAACACAACCTGTAAGGCCCTATCCTTACTTCATCTTAGGTCAGTGTAATGTAGCAAGCAGCTACCAAAACAAGGACACAAGCTCACAATGCATACTTTCTACTATTTTTACTGTTACATACTTCTGTTTTAGCATGTTATCTTTAATTAGATTTCCCATAATCCCTCAGCTAACCAAATGATAATGTGAAAGGCTGCCTCTCACTGAGATGAGGATAGAGCAGATGTACTGCTATATTGATTAAGGAGACTTGATCTTAATTACACAAAAAGACTCAGCAACTATCAATCAAAAGCCATGAGAGACATTTCAATTTTTTATGCTAATCTAAGAAAGATTTTCTGAAACCAAGGCTATTTTTCTTCTGGTGGTTTCTTTTGACAATTCAGCATATTCTAATTGCTTCTTTATACTTGGTTCCCATATCACCTGATACCACCATCAAGGTGAAGGGTATCTCCTGCTACATTATTTTTGGTTCAGTTTGGGGCCTAGAGGTTGTTTGCTTGTCTGGTTTGAGGGAGCTTGCTGGGCTTTCTCATCACTCTTATTTTTTATTTATTTTACTTCTTATGTACCATACTTGTCAGGTTAATACACCCAAAAAGTGGTTTCCATACAACTCCTAGAAAAAGCTGAATTCAAACATGATGATGTTTGATGAAGAATGCCAGCTCAGCTAACATTTATAAATGAACATTCTTACTAGCCAGAAATAAGAACGCCTTATTAAAAAGAACTCTGCAAATCTTGCAAGAAATATAATTAGGCAAAGGCAATAACTAACTTGACTGTAACAAAGAAAACATCAGATGTATTCTCAAAGAAAAAGTCCCACTGCTTTTGTTCTCCACCGCATCCGTTCCCTTCAATAATCCAGCAATCCAGCAAAATCTATTTACACAATAGGTGAATTTTCCAAATCACTGTCGCTGAAAAGTAAATAGAAACATTTAATTGAGAGAGCTTCACAGAATTTCAAAATAGGTATTTAATGATCATCTACATTATAATGAGAATATTTTCCTATTTCCAGAAGCATACAAAGGCTCAAGAATCAAATTCACATTCAGAAGGCCAGGAAAAATAATCATCAGGAAAAAAAGAAAAAACACCCCTATTTTTGAAACATCACAACAAAAACATGCAGTTATACGAGTTGATGGGAACTGAACTGACTTCTGAAATGGTAACAGCCCCACCAATGAAGCAACAAATCAAGCTCCTTTGTCTCTACTACTGTTTTGGGGAATACAATTTATTATTTTTTTTATCGCCAGTGCATAACATAAGGCATCCTTTTCTCTAATTCTGGAGCTAATGTTAAAAGAATCCTACAGTACAGTCAAAAGAAGCTTGTAGCTGAGTTGTAAAAATTCTTGTTGTAAAATCTGCAATATCACATGTTAGTAAAGCGTAAGTTTCATAGCATTCATGATGAGCAATCACCTGCTTCTTAGCTCCTCTACATAGATGACTCAAGATAAGTTATCACTACTTCTTTAATTGCCAGAGATACAGGAGCTCATTCTACCATAGAATCACAAGGCTGGAAAGGACCTACAAGATCATCTAAGTCCAACCATCCTCCCATTTCCATTGCTACACAAGCACTAAACCATATCTTGTAGCTCCTCATCCAGACACCTCTTGACACTGCCAGGGACGGCGACTCCACCACCTCCCTCCACCGCCATTCCAGTGCCTCCTACCATATTTCAGTCATCTTAGTTATTTGAAGACTAAGTCATGTGCTCAGTCAGGTAGCTTGTGGTTAGTACCGACTCATTTATTCTTCCAAATTTAAACATTTGGAAATTGTTATTCTGGTCTCTCTTACCCCACATTAGGTATATTTATTTTATTTTAA